AGTATCTAAATTTGAGATATAAACATAAATATGAAATATAAATGTATCATCTTCCTAAGAATCATCAATATGATATGTACTACTCTGATGCCCAAACGTATCCCATATGGCATTTTGTATGCCAGGAGACATACAAAAGTAGATTTTTAATTATTTTACAATTCTATGCCAGCCTTTCCCACAATTTAAAATAGTACTGGACCGTTCAGTGCCTTCCCACAGATTAATTATTAGAATATAAGAATTATTTTGGCACAGCATCCTGGGGTGTATTTTAACTGCAATTAAATTTGTAATGATTGCCTAAGGATTTGCCATGCTGTTGTTTGTTCAAATTGCTTCTGTGCTCCAATACTGAAGCTTGCCCCTTTGGGTTTTGGGGGGTTTTTTTTGCTTCTTTTCACAAGAATAGGCCACTATAAAGCAGACGTCCCAGTATACTGTGGCCTTTACATCCAAATGAATTATCTAGAAATAGAGCCGTGCACATTTAACTTAACGTACTGTGTTTTGTTTAGATGTATTTCTTAATTAGTTTATTTCAAAATGCTTGCCTTGTATTTTAAAATTCAGGATTGCTTTTTGTTAAACTCTAAAATGCCAGTGTTCCATTGCTCCTTTTCCCTTGCTAAAAACATGCCAGTGTTCAAAAAGGAAAGTAACATACACAAAGACCACCATGTGAAAAATTAAGGAAAATACGATGGGAATTCTTTGGCCGTAATTCTGCCGCGGGTGTTTTTCGAAAAAGGCACCGATAGGAGCGCGGGGGGGGCGGGGGGAGAGAGAAAGGCGGAACGTCCTTGCCTTTCGAAAGAGTGGAGCAGCGCTGCAGTTTTGCTCCAACGGGGTATCAATCATTCAACGCGGCTTGGGTGTCTTGAGGAAGATGTAGGCAGGAAAGAGGGTCCTCCCCGGCTCCGGACGGAAGAACCAGAAGCCGAGAGGGGCACCTTACTGGGCCACAGCAAACCGTGACCCCACCGCGCCAGGCGAGGCTTGGACTGCTGCAATGTCTCCCCGCCGCTTCTCTCTGCAGGAGCTGCCGTTCGCCGGCTGGGGTGAGCAAGCCTGCTTCTCCTCGCCTCCTGTCCTCCCTGCAATGAATGATGCAGGAGAAAAAAGAGGCGGCGGGGGAAGAAGAGGAAGAGGAGGAGGGGGAGGCGGTTGCCACCGCCGCGGCTGCTCCTGTGAAGCACAAATCCTCTGCAACTCTTCCAGCAGGAGGAAAAGCGGCTTTGCCGTTGTGAGCTTACATCACAAT